ATTTATAGGATTACAGTTAGCATTATTCTCATAGACTTAACACTATCCATAAGATTAGCATTGCAATAGACTCAGCAATACCCAGGTTAACCTTATGTCATAGCCGGGGGCCGAACCATCCTATAAACCTCATCAATGATGCAGTGCATTGACAAATATGTCATATATTGGGTCAAATGATAAATAGGTGCCTTGACTATGAACCGTGTAGATAGAATTGTGAAATTAATTTTTTAATTTAAGTCAACATTCCTGGGCATCAGAAACCGAGTTGCATAAAGTTGACATGATTAGCCTTTATACAGTAAATTTTTAAACAGTCGGACAAAATAATGTATTCCTATGGGAAGGTGTATGGTTTTGTGATTACCGACGGTTGAAATCGCGTGTAAATTGATCATGCTCAAATAGCAATAGAGATAATTGAAAATCCATACTCTTTGAATATCGTCAATATCTAATGTATAACCACATCATATTTAATGGCCAACTCTGACCGATGCCTGAACTCTGGCCACTTAATTATCGGTAGTCGACCCGATTGGCGGCCTGTGTTCGTTGTGTTCGCATTTGATTCCCGTTATAATTAATGTCGTAATGACTGCTCTAAACTGTTGTCGGATAACCAATAGTGAACACCAATACCCAAATCATAGCATATTTTCAATCTAAAAATATGTTCATTTTTGATAAAATATTTTGGGCTAAGTTTTTTAAAATAATTCCGACAAACATTTTAAAAATTTCCAGTTTAGACCAATTATTCGATCTTGATGAAACTTTGTTTCTGGTGCCTAAGAATGTTAACTTAAATTATAAAATTAATTTCACTATCCTAGCTACACTAGAAGTACCAAAGGACTAACATATATGAAGTGTACCAATACAATCCTATGATATAGCCTATACCTAAGGATAATGTGTACTGTATCCATATTATAACCATTTTCTTTGTTGAATTGTGTTTAAAAGTATATAAATATCTAAATTATTGCATTGTTTTCAATGAGAATGTGATATGAAATGAAAATTGAGGTCAAGGATAGCCCAACAGAGACTATATTTCCTCGTTATGTAAGCATTGCCAGCGTTTACTGCTATTAATGCTATTAATATTTGTGTTTTTAATATTTGATTTTTATGCAAATATTAATTAATTTTAAAGACAATATACATAAAAATATTTTTTAAAAATCTGAATTAAACTTAAAATTGTTTTTAGAAATAGTAATGATTTTGAAAATTATGCAAACCTTCAAACAGAAAAAAAACTAAAAAACGCTTATTTTGTAGCTTTTATTCACCACAATTCAGGATTGAATAATGTGGTTACGGATCGTTCGGCCCCCTCCTCCACTTGATGGGATTTAACATGGCATTACAGCTTAAGTCTATGGCTATACTTTAACATGGGTAATGTTAAGTCTATGGCAATGCTAAGTCTATGGGTAATGCTAAGTCTATGGCATAGGAATAACATGGGTAATGCTAAGTCTATGAGTAATGATAAGTCTATGGGTAATATGGAATAGAAATATGCGCTCAAAATGTCATTAATTACAAATAAATTTATCATTAAAACAAACAAAATAGCATTAATAACAGAGAAAATTACTATTAAAACCGAATAAATCTCAACAATAACATTAGAAAATTTTCGAAATACAAACAATAAGATAAAATAACAATGAAAAGTTTTGAAAAATCATATTCATTCAACAATGCTTTAAAAATTAAATTTTCAAAATACAATTACTAAACGCAATATGTGAGGCATATCTATTCTCTAAGAATCACCCGAATTGTGGTTAAGCCGTAGCATCGCTGAGTGATCCTTGTTTTTAATTATTTTGTATTTTCAATTTAGCTTTATAACTTATATATTCTAGTTGATTTTTATTAAGTTATTTTTGTTTTTGTTATAAAATTAAGTCATAAATATTGTAAATAATTTCTGGTTATAAATTTTTTATTAAAGGCATAAATAATTTAAATCAGGCACTGATTTATGAGACAAATGGTGTGTTATTTTTAGGGCAATTAAAAAACTTTTTACATTTTTATAAAAATTTAGCCTAAATAAAATATTCGTTTAAATATTTTACTGAAATTTTCAAATTTACTTGTATGTGTTTCTACTTGTCAATAAATTTTATATTCCATGAAACATTGTATGTGTATTATTCCTTGACCTTAGTCATTGAAAAATAATTTGTAGCAATACTTTATATATTTGGCTAATTAATAGTCACACATATTTTTATTTATTAAGTAAAATAATCAGTGCTGTTAATAATCAGTGATTATTAATCACTGACTTTTTTTTTATGTAAAACACGTTTTATTTTAAAAATAATTGTTTTAGAGAAAAGTTAACATAAAATGGCGTTAAAAGAATTTGGATCAGAGGATCCGCTCAAACGGAACAAAATCAGTTCATTAGATAAATGGCTTGTATTTAATCTAATGAACGAAGAGTTTGTTCATAACATCCGTTCATTCATTATATACGGGAAGACAGGCAATGAAATGATTGTTGTGACCAAAGATGATGTGGTCTTTCATATGAATGTCAATGAAATCACACAAATGACTGAATTGTCTGAATTGAGAGGACAGAATGTGATTAAAATTAGTTCGGGTACTAATCACTTGTGTGCCCTCACATCGGCGGGTGATGTGTACACGTGGGGCGAAAACATTCGATTCCAGGTATTCACATATATTTTATTTAGTAAATTAATTATATATATAACTATAGTTGGGAAATGGAACAGACATTTCATCCAAAAATCCAATGAAAGTCGATTCATTGATCGAAAAAAGCGTTTCCATTGTGGACATGGATTGTGGCGATTGTTTCACTTTAGCGCTGACAAGTGATGGACAGGTGTACGCCTGGGGTTGGAACAGCTACGGTGAACTCGGGGTGGGATACAGTCGACCACTATCACTACCACAGAGAGTTTTTGGTCATCTCACTGATAAGCGCGTGACATCCATTGCATGTGGTTTATATCATTCATTGGCCGTAACTATAGAAGGAGACGTTTTTGCATGGTATATATTTGATTCATAATCATTAAAGGGTTGATTTTACATATTTTACATATCTGTTGCGGTAAGAGAGATTAATCTCTATCTTAAAGGACTTATAAAATAAGGAGTATTTTGAGACCTATTTGTTATCTCATTAGCACATATTATTACATATTTTGTCAGTTAGCACATTTTAACCACAATTCAGAATGAAGAATGTGGTTTATAGTATCTCGACGCTACCCCTAAATTTTAAAAAATTATATTCATACAACAATGCTTTAAAAATTAAATTTTCAAAATACAATTATTAATAGCAATATGTGAGACAAAATTAAAAAAACAAAATTAGTCATTTATAAGTAAATCTAGATATTTCTAATGAATTCTATTAGAAAAATTATGTAAATAATAAAATATTTGCTATTTATTTCTCAAATTAAAATTTTCGTGATTTTATTACCACATATAATCACACATTTTAAAGTTATTATCACATACTTTTTTGATTTAATACCACATATTATATTACATATTTAGAAGATTATTACCAAATATAATCAATGCTTTGGTAATCAATATTATATTGTATAATAAATATTTTCGATACTAGGGGATATAATAATAGTGGTAGTCGAGGTTTGGGTCACACCAACGACCAATTTTGGCCGGTTCAAATCTCATCTCTCAAGGGTATCAAAGTGACCAAGGTGGTGGCCGGATGTAACTATACTATTATTTTGACAAACAATGGCTGTGTATATACTTTTGGCTTTAACCACGGTCAATTGGGTACCGGTAATAAAACAACTCAGACATCGCCGTTCAAATTGCCAAACGACAATCTGGATCCGTTTGTAGACATTGCAACGCATAAAAATAACTTTATCGCAGCGGCCGTTACGTCCAATGGAGTGCATTATGTTTGGGGCGAATGTCGCAAACCGGTTGGCCTTTTGCTCACACCTACCGGTAATTGTTTCCCAAATTTATTAAATTTAAAGCTTAAAAATAATTTATATTTAATTTTATACCAAATTAGTTGCAAACGTGACCACAATGTATGATGTGTTCGGATTGTATGGCAAAATACGTGCAAATAATCATTTGTTGACAGCTAAAGGTCTAACAGAGAATCTCACGATCAGCAGCCAATCCCCGGCTTTTGACGATCCGATAACCAGTACTTTCCAGTTTGTGATCGACGGCCACCCCATACATGTCCACAGAGAGTATTTGATTATACGCTGTGACGTTTATATGAGACGCTTGTTAGACACAAATCAAACAAAAATTGAGGTAATAATATTATATTATAAGATATTTTGTTATTTAAACAAAAATGCCAAATAATTTACTATATCTATAGATTTCAAACAATTCTTATTTCGCATTCAAAGCATTCCTGCGATATCTGTATACCAACGATGTGTTTGTGGCGCCGGATATTGCGGTCGAGTTATTAGGTTTGGCCGACACTTACGCCGAGACAGACCTCAAGCGAAAGTGTACTCGAATTATAAGTAAAAGCATTACAGTTGAAAACGTGGCCATAATATACGGGGCGGCTGTTAAACACTCGGCGCCAGTACTTCAGGAAATGTGTTTTAAGTATTGTGTGCAACACTTCGATGATGTGAAAGGAACGCAGGCTTACGATAATTTGGATCCCTTTATTCGCATTGATTTTTTGATTAAATTTAATATAAATGCGAGCGCTTTGAACAGTGATTGAATTCTTGTGGTATAATATGTTTATTGAATTTATTATTATTTAACATTTCTAATAATGATTAAATAATTTGATTACTCATAAAACAGTAGATTTGCAAAGATATGAAACATTAATGTAAGATTTATACGAGATAGTTATTAACAATAAAATTATTAGTATTATAAAATTTTAATTGCGGTTTAAAATTAGATATAAAATTATTGTGTTAAATATTAGATAACATTTAATAATTAGTGAACATTTGAAACAATCAAAAGTTATACAAAATAGATATAATGAATTACAATAGGATAGAGAATAAAGTGGATTAATATTTGGTTTAATAATAATTGTAAATCAATTGTAATTGCATTTTGAAAATATTAAATATTAGAAAAAATTATCTCAAAGGAAGATTAATAGTGATAATTTTTAGGCATTTTTTTATCACATTCTCGACAGTCGTTTGGTTGTAGTCTTTGTATCCGTAGAGACAAATGGTCTGTATTTGTGGTAATAATGACAATGAATTCAACACATTATCACTCACTCTAAGAGTACAGCAAATAGACCGGAGTTTAGGGTAATTTTGATGGATATTATTAAAAAACAATTCATCTGTCGGTATATTAGATAAATGCGTTAATTGTTTGCATGAAATTAAAGCATCACTTCTCACGATATACTGGTGTGAATAAAAGCCTTCAATTCGCAGACGTTTTAATTGTTTGAAGTATTGATTGATTGTCGCAAACAATTGATCGGTAATTTTGTTTGAATCGATATTCAAGCCAAAAACTAGTTTTCGCATTTTTGAGCAATTAATACCGATTTGTCTCAAATGGCCGACAATTAAATAACACTGATCACCACGATGTAAATTATAATATATATCGCATTTTAATTCAATTAATTCGCGCATTTGTAACAAACCATCGGACAGTTGATTGAGTGACAACTCATCGCAATTCTGGTCGATATACAAATCAATACATTTCAAACTTTTTCTATAGTTTTGCACAAATTGTTTGAATAAATCCATGTTTTTGTTATCAAAGTTAAGTAAAACTTTGCGTAATTTTCCAAATGTGGGAACATTTACATCACTTCCGCACAACAATTGCATCGATTCTAATACATATCTACCATAAGTTGTGCTAAATTGCTGTAGATTTGTACATAACTTTACATTTGTTTCAAACTCATTCCAAAGAGCGATGTTTTCGGGAGGAATGTCGACATAAATTGATTTCAATTGTTTGGCAAACTTTGAGAAAAATGCTTCAAATGATGGCATATTTTGATGCGTGATCAATTTAATGTCATTCAAATGATGGCAATGTGTTATAATTGTGTCCAACATTTTATTATCGCCACCGAAACAGATTTTTGTGATGTTTTTCAACTTTTTAATCACAAATTTTAATTTGTTTGCATTCAAACCCCGGTGCGTGCCCCACCCAACATTTAGTACACTCTGTGTCTCGTATACCACTCTCTGCCACTGTTTGCACACCTCTTCGTATCGGAACCGCTCACTGAATGACAGATAAGACAACAATAGTTGACACAAATCATCACCAAATCTGTCGAAAGAGTCTTTTGCTGTCATTTTGTCCATTTATTGACCACTTTTTGTGGGACTGTTTTTAGAGTGAAAGTTTGTATTGAAGTGTAAGTTAAAGCTATAATAAATACGCTTTTATAAGCACTACTTATTGTTATTGAAAATGCATTTTAACAAAGATTGAAACTTTTTTGAACACAAGTTAATGTAAAATCATATAAAATTAGGGTTGGAAAAATACAAAAATATTTTGGAGCTTTGTATTATACAATGTATAATACAAAAATCCTTGTATTATACATGTATTTTTACTTACTATGGAGAAAAAATTAACATGTTTTAAAAACAAAAATTAAGTTATTTTAACGCATTTATCTTATTAATTATGCAAGTTATATAATTTAAATCACTAATTATTTCACATTCGACGATTAATCCAATTGTTTTAAAAACTTGTAAATCTGGAAACAATTGATTTTGGATTAGATTTACTCATTTTAAAAGCGCTAATTATTTTTAAATTAAATAAGTAAACACATTTGATATACCCAAACAATTTGCAAGTGTTTTGACGTGTTTATAATATTTTATAAATAGGTGGCGCTGCCAATTTTTGTATTATACAAAAAAGGCAATTCTTGCTTTGTATTATACAATGAATAATACAATTGTATAATACAAAATTTGTATATTGCCAACCCTATATAAAATAAAAGAACATTAGTTTAAGATTAGTTAAAAGTCATTGTACATGCTATTCCTAGGGCTGGTCCTGTATGGCCTTTGAGGCCCTAATCCGGATCATTAATATGTCCTGTATTTAATCACTAGAACTATTTGAACAAAACTGTATGCTTTAGATATGTTTGCAATAAATCTAGGGCTTTGCCTTTGATTTTAAACAATTATATGAAAATATTTATTCAATTTATAAAACTATTTTAAAAACAAAATAAAATGACTGCAAATGAAGACTTGAGATCATTTGAGAAACGATACAAAATCATATGTTTAGCATGATATTGGATTAATAAATTATATTGAAAATAATATTTATAATTTATAACAATATTATTATTCCACTTCAAAAACATTGAAATATGTATTTAATAATAAATGAAGTGACTATAACTGATAGTAATGTACGCAATAATATGTAATTCAATGCTATTTATGTATTCATTTAGACAATTGGCGACACATTTTACTGAACGCCGAAAAACAATCCAAAAAGTAAAACAAATTATTTATTTATCACTCGTTTGCCTCTCATTGGCATAAAATAATTAATATATTAATAAATGCATTAAATGAGCGCAAAATATACAACTAAACAATAATTATCTCAATATTAAATCAAAAACAACGCACAGAATATTCTGTACGCAAAACACAATTATATACACGTATAATAAGCACAAAACAAGAGCACAATTATTGATATTTAGTGTCACAACAAACAAAATCACAGCCAAAATCCTTAACACAGTATTTCATTGTCGAGAGACAGACAATAGTAATACATGAGACAACTCTCACTGTCCGGCAGTAAACATGTATACCTATACCATAGCATCCGTACTACTGGTGCCGGCATTTCTAACTACCGGTGCTTTCGGTCAACGGAGCAAAGATGTCCAGAAGCCGGAGACACAGTACGCCTCGTCGCTGTTCCGTATGAACCGAGTGCTCGAAGGCATACCATTCCTACACAGCGTAGCAAATGTCACATCAGTTTCTCAATGCCTAATGCATTGCATGAAACGTAAGCCCGACTGCAAGTCATTCAATTGGGGCCGTAATGGCGACTGCGATCTAATGGCTGACTCCGTCTGTTTCAATGAGACTGTAAGCCCGACTGCAAGTCATTCAATTGGGGCCGTAATGGCGACTGCGATCTCATGGCTGACTCCGTCTGTTTCAATGAGACCCTACTGTTGACCCCTCGGGAGGGCTACGCCTACTATGACATTATGGACGGTCCCGACTATGAGGTAAATTGCATTGTTTTACAGAATATTCTGTGATTTTTAACTATTTTCTATTAAAATTTCTATTAATGTGTAATTTTAATTAAATTTTATAATTTATATATTTTAGTAATGATCTAGTTTATTAAGTTGTTTTTGTTGTTATTTTAATCAATAAAAGTGGTAAATAATTTCTGGTTATAAATTGTTTAGTAAAGATATAAATAATTTAATTCAGGCACTGATTTATGCGACAAATTGTGTATTTATTTTTAGGGCTACTTATTATTTATGAGCGCCTTTTGAGTAAGTTTTTATGTAAATATTTACCCATTTATATGATATATAATGAACTCAATTCTGGGGAAATGTATTTCAAGTGTAGCAAAAACATTAGGTTTTGAGTGCAAAAAAAGTGATATCATATTTGTTTTGCAGGAATTTGCATAAAATGTAATATATTTATAATTTTAATTTTCTTAGAAAAAGCATTTGAAAGACGGTTATTGCCGTCTGTTTGGCAAATGCTCGGGAAAATGCTATCCCAGGACTCGTAAGTGATTTTTATTAATTATTTATCAGTAATTAATTATTAATATTTATTAATTATTTTATTAATAAATAAATTTCATTTTTTAAATAAAACAATACAACATTGTATTGACTGAATCACGCAATACGCTATAAATATTTTATTTTTATTGATTTCTATTAGAATATGCTTAATAGCCTTCAATTCTGGGTCTTCTAGCTTTTTGCGGGCAAACGCCTCAATGAATCGCTGCTCCTCTAGGTTTAGAGGCATCGCTAGAGTACGGCCTAAACCATCGCAATGAGCCTTTGCCTCACTCTTCTTCATC